GCTGCCCTGGTGACTGGCAGCTGCGCCTCCCCCTTCTCACAGCTAGGGGCTCTCTGGAGCCCTCCCTGTCCTCAGGCACAGGGCACCCAAGTGCTCTGCGACACACCACCACTATGGAAGTGCTGATTTTTCAACACTTCCATAGTGTTGAAAAACAACAGGCATGGAAGGAAAGGAAACAAGACCAAGAAATCCATGGTCTGACCCTCCCTTTAACCATCACCTGTAGCATCAACCAGAGAGTCTGTGGCTCTAGGATCAGCCTCCTTAACCATCAATGGATTCATTAACAACCCTTTACTTGACCTGTGGGAGTGACCATCCCCAGCCATGAGGGACTGCTGACAACAACTGTGGTGACACAGGGTGTCTCAATTCTTCTCCTCTCTCCTTCACCTGTCAGCAGTCATGCTCTTTCCAAGGCCCAAGGCTAAAGGGCAATCCCCTGGATACAAATATCTTTCAGAGGAACCTGGGTTTTGTGCAAGACAGCTCTGTTTCGTCAGGCTTAATAGACAATCCTAGCTAGTTTTGTTGTCAGAGGCAACTCCTGGGCCATGTACAAGATAACTGTTCCAGGGCTGGGGATGCAGTAAATAGGCTGCTCAATGCTTACTCAGGCCTGGTCATTCTCTCTTCCATTTAACAGAAGCGTTGCTGTTTTTTTCCCCAGGAAGCCAACCCAACCTTCAACTCAAATTGACAAAGTAACAGAGTCTAAACTCAGAAGCAGCTGTTAGATGATGTTGTCCAGTGGCTTTCAACCTGAGGTTTGTGGACACCTCGGGGTCCACAGACTGTGTAAGGGGTCTGCGAAAGATGACCATGAGCAATCAAAAGTATGCGAATATCCACACTTACAAATTCAAAGGTATCCATTCAAAATTTCCAAAAGAGTCTGCACCTCCATTCAATTTTTTGTAGGGGTCCGCAAAAAAGGGTTGACAAAAAAAGGAAAAAAAGGTTGAAAACCACCAATCCAGTTAATCCTCCTGTACGGAGGATGTACTGTTATTTGTGCTTGGCATCTTCCAGAAAGGTGTCATTCTTGATCCGAAGACAAAGGAATGGACAACTGCCCTCAGTGCTGCATAGTACCGCCAGACCATTAATCTGCCCCAACCAATCCTGTATGACCTTACATAGCTTCAGGATGAGGTGTACGTTGAATGTAACAATTCACAAACCCTTCTGAGCCAAAATACAAAAAACATGTGAAAAGGCAGAGAAAAAAAAGCCTGAAAATGGCCAAAAACAAACTACTGAAGTTAAATATTGTTACACTAGCTGGACTGGATAATTTGCTTGCAAAAGAATCCTAATAATTAACCATAGCATTCTCCAAGACCAACAAGTTGATTTTTAACAGATCCTGGAAAACGGGGTTGTAACAGAAGGTGTAACTCTAGCTCTGTTAAAGAAGAGAGGGGGCGAGGGAAGTAAAGGCAGCAGGACCACTTTAAGGCCTGAACCTTTGCAGCCCAGAGGAGGGAACAATTACCTGCTGTAAAGATGGACCTAGCCAGCATGGACCAGCTGGAGAGAACCTCCGCTGTCAAGGGAAGACCCAGTTGGACAGGAGAGAGCAAGCAGCTTGCACTAGAGTGTAGGGAGGGACCTCAGAGGGGAGATGCCAGGTCCTGGGCTGGAGGCTCACACTTGTAAAGTTCAGCCCAGAATTAGCCAGCTGCAGGACCCAGCAGGGGGAGGAGAGCAAGACACTGATCACAACTGTACCCAGGGAGCAGGAAACCCAGTGAGATAACCAGGTGGGCATGGCTGTCTAAAATATAAACTCTCCCCAGGCCAGAGGAAGGAAAGTGGGTACAGTGGCAGAGCAAGACAGAGACCTGCAGGGAGGCGAGGGTGGAATCGCCTCCAGCCAGGAAGCTGCTACCTGAAAGGAGGGACTTCCGTCAACCCAAAATGAAGGACCAAGTGCCTGGGAAGTACTGAGGATTTCCATTTTTTGTGCCTTGGAAGTCCCTGAGAAGGGAATACAAAGAACTGAGATCAGTTTTATGTTCACCCTGGAGGAGCCCTGTGGTGGGAGCTGAGTAAATCTATACAGATTAGGAACTGTTCACAGTGACACCAGAAGTGTCTGGGGAAGTGGAGTACCCTGAGGACTACAGACTGTTTTGAGAGCCCAGTACAGGCCTGCTCACTGTTCTTTTTCTTTTTCTGCTTATGACAGTAGTAACACTCAGTGGACTGAAATGGCTGTCAGGGAGACAAGGAGGCCAAAGAACAGAGTGCGTGGTGTACTGTGATTTTTTCTGTGGTTTTGGTTTTTGGACCTACCTTGGCAGTTTTGGGGCAAGAGACCTAGGAAGGGAACCCAGACTGGTCAGAGCCTAGACAAAAAGGAAGAACTAAGACAGACTGGAGACTGGCAGGGCTGGGCATCCACGCACTGACAGAAAGGGGGAGCAGGGGAATGAGAGAAGGGGCAAAGCCATGCACAGCCCAGTTAAACTTAGAGCTGGGGACAAGATAGGGAGACAAGGCGCCTATGGCCTAGGCTTTAGGTTCCCTAAGGTAGCCTCTCAAGAAAACATCTCAATTAACACCATGACATGGCAGGTGAGAGAGAGAGAGAGAATTAGGGCAGACTAGGTAGCCAGGTACCACCACACCACAAGGGGGTGCCCCATTATCCACAAAGAATCACCCCATTACAGGGGAAAACCATGGTTGACCAGAGAAAAGTCTAATGTTATATTGAAGATGATTTAGTTTGACCGATGCCCTCTTTGGCAAAATCATGGAATGGTTAGTACAGAATGATAACCAGTATAGGAATAAAAAGGACAGCATAATTAATGCAAATTAGCATGGTTTAGACCAGGGGTGAGGAATTATTTGGGCTGGAGAGCCACTTTATGAGTTTTGGTGAGTTTTTGAGGGCCAGGGGAGGAAGGGCCAGGGACAAAGTAGGGAGATGCCAATTGATCCTCAAATGTCCAGAAGCCTGAGGAAGGAAGGCTGTACCCCCCACCAGGAGCCAGGCCAGGCAGCACGTGGATTCCTCTGGCCCCCACATCCATGCCCCCCACCCCTGCCCAGCTTCCAGTTAGGGGTGTATAGTTCAGTCACCATAGCTGCCAACAATTGGGACTGCGCAAGATGCAGCACAATGCAACACTGAGTAGCTGTCCTGCCTGCCCACCTGCCTGCTGCAATGAGCCACTGCCACCACACTGCATCAGGAAAGTTGGGGGTGGCTACCCAGGCCAAGCCCTAACCACAGCCCGCATGGAATCGCCTTCTAACAGCACCACGGCAGCAGCAGCTCATTGTGGAGGGCTGGCGTGTGGGATGGCTACTCAGCATACTGCATTGCAACCCATCCCATGTGGGCCCAGCAGTCAGTGGCCACAGTGCCAGGACTGCACTGCTGCAGCACTAACAAGAAGCTGGGCGGGGGAAACGATGCAGAGGGGAATAAAGTCTGTGTGCTGCGTGGCCCAGTCCAGCCCCAACCCTGGCTGCAGCAGAGCAGAGCAGGATGGGGCATAGCCCTCCCTTCTCAGGCTTTCAGTGGCACCTAACAGGCTGGACAGGATCAACTGGTGGGCCAGATACAGCTCACGGGCCATATTTTGCCCATCCCTACTTCAGACTGTTTAACAAATCTGATATAACATTTTGATTAGAGCACAAACTGACAAAGATGTTTCCTCCGCATGGAATGTGATTCAGTCCATTCATATTCTTGACATCTAAGGGTAATTTAGTTTCCTCAATGAAGAAGATTAGTGGCATAGTGCAGTTTACAATGGATCACTGTCTAAATAAAAGCAGAGACCTGGCTGGACATATGAAAGGCAAAACAACCACACCAGAATCCTAGAACAGATGAGGTACTATCCCAGAGAAGATATACAGGACAGTCCTAGCCTCTAGTCTATAGCGCATGCTGGGGTAGAGGATAGGCTGCTTTCAGTCTCTCCCAGGGAGTTGTTGGCACTGTGTATAAAATGACTCAGAGAGAGCATGAGAATGACTCTCTAGTCCGCTGGTTAAGGCACTCACCTTGGAGGTCAGCCAACTGAGTTCCAGTCCCTGCAAACAATGATAACTTTAGTATTATAAGTAAGTGGAACAGCAACAAAAGGAGAAATTGAGTAAAACCCACCCTAGAATGCCTGATAGGCTGCTGGTTATGGTGTAAGATAAAGTGCAAGATGTAGGTTGAATGCCCTCGGAGAGAACAGAAATATGAACTGGGAGCACTCACACTGAGTGAGTGCTCCTGCCATTGGGCTATGGGACAAAAGGACAGCTCTTCCTTAGTTTTGTGAATAATTTCTTCATTTCCATTGCTTTGCTTCTGTTAAAGAGGGTCAATATTGAAATCAAAATAAAGGTGTTTGTTTTGGTGAGAAAAGCTTTAATTTCAGTTCAGACAACTGATTTTTGGTTCAGCTGCCAAATAAAACCTTAATTATTTGCACAGCTGTAGTAAAGCATCTAGGAACAGGGTGGAGGGAGCTTGCACAGCCAATAAAAAGCATCTGCCTCCAGGGTTTTTCCTCCGGAACCTCTCACAGAACTCAGTCACTTGGGAAAAAGATGGTGCAAGTCAGATCAAAGGTAACCAGTATCAGAAGGTAAAATGGATAGAGATGGTGAGAGAAGCAAGTCAAGAGTAGGAAGTGCCTATTGTTGCTCACCTCCACATCCACATTTGGAGAGCTCTCCTTAGGATTGTAGTCAAAAACAGCCACCATACTCCTAGGCACAAGCAGTTCAGCTTCAAGGTCCTGACATTTGTGAACTGAGGGATAGAAATGAAACACATTCACGGTCTTGAAAAGCCAGGGTGAAACCACAAATCAGAACTGAACAGAATCCATTCAGGCCAGCAGCATCTTCTTGCTGTTCCTCAGGCCTCCACTTCCAGGCTTCACGGAGTGGGAGCCAAGCAGCCTAGCTCTGTCTAGCTCAGGGGTGGGGAATTATTTTGGGGTGG